CACACACACACACACACACACACACACACACACACACACACACACACGGAATCAGAGAATCTGGCCCAGGCTTGCCAGAACCGTTTATTTACAGGGTGGGCTACTGGCCCAGGGTGTCCTCGGGGCTGTGATGCAGTGGCAAGTCCAGGACCCCAGCTCCCCAGCTCCAGCTCAGTCACTCTGGGCCTCTGGCTTAACTCGCCCCAGAAAGGTTATGGCCCAGGGCCAGGCACCTGAAAGAAAGTGCTAGATGTGCCCCAGCCCCTTATCACAAACCCCACACCCCAATTGGGATGGCCCTCAGCCAGGGGAGCCCAGGGAAGGGAGCAAGTAGGAACAGAGTCAAGGGCACAGGCCTGGGCACTCTTCCACCCAAGGACCTGGCTTTTGCATGTTCAGGAGCCCATACAGGAGGCCCCAGGCTGGAGGGAATGGTCTCGCCTTGAGAGACCCTAATAGAGAGGCTGTCAGGTGGGACTGATGAGGGTCAAGACAGGGTACAAAGAGCAGGGAGAGCTCAAGGCCAGGCTGGAAGGGACCAAGGGCAGAAGGCAGGAGCACAGAGAGTGCAGGGAATGGTGGGCAGGCCAGGCTGCTCTCCCATCATGGCCCCACTCTCCTCTCCTACGGGGTCAGATTTGGGACAGAAAAGCTCTAGGGCATGTGGTGGTGTTTGGGAGCCCCTGGCAGACCCCAGAAGGGACCAGGAGGGAGGCCGCACTCACCCTGAGGGCTCTGCTTCACCCAGACATGATGTGTTTGACAAAGGCTGGGAAGGGAGACAGAAATCAGTCACCGCACTTGGCCCCTCTCAGCCTGACTTCCAACCTTCCCACCACCCTTTCTCCAGACTCTGATTCTTTCTCTTATTTGGGGTTGTTCGGAGAAGCTGGAAGAAGAGACCTAACCTCTGCTGTGTCTTCTAAGCTGACACCTGGACATAGATGAAATGAGCTACGTTGTCTCTGCTAATCCCCACAACCTTAAGAAAGGTGCCAGCATCACCCCATTGTTCAGATGAGAAAATTGAGGCTCAGAGAAGGTAAGTGACTTGATCTAGGTCACACAGCCAGTCTATCTCCAAAACCCATGCTCTTTCCATTATATTATGCTGTTCACTCCAAGGATGGAAAAGAACATCCATTGGGAACTCACCAACACCTATCTAGCCTCTAATTCCTGGATCTGTTCTGTTCTGCAGACCCGCCCAGCCCAAACTGTGCCCGCCATCCCCGGGTGCCCCAGGAAGTGAGGCATGACCTGATACCTTCGTAATTGATGCACCCGTTGGCATCCTCTTGCCCAGCCAAAAGCTGCTCCACCTCAGCCTCAGTCATCTTCTCTCCTGGGGTGGGGGCAATAGGTTCTGAATTACACATGGCAAAGGAGGGACAGGCCAAACCCAAGCACCCCCTCGAGTCTCAAGGCCCAAGGCTCCCCAGATCTGGGAAGTGGACATTCAAGCTTTGGAGGGGGAGCCAAGGGTCTTAGGTCTTTCCTACTCCCCACGGCCTCTCCCTCTGCCCTACAGCCAGAACTGGGGGAGCAGACCAGGGCCCCCGTGACTGAGGCAATGACAAGGATGGGATCCCTGGGTCCCACATCTCAGGCTTCAGCCCTGCTCTGCCAACCTGCTCTCCTTTCCTTCCAAGCCCAGCTGAGCAGACCCAGTTGGAGGAAGGTTGTTCCTGCAGAGCCTGAAGAGACAGGGCCTGAATCAGGATGTGATCCTCAGGATGCAGGGACCCCAGTCTACCCCCTACCTATGCCACCTGGGCACTTCCCACCACTCCCTTCCTTCCCCTTGGGCACCACCAGCCTGCATACCCAGGGTGGCGAGGACATGGCGAAGCTCAGCACCCATGACTGTGCCATTACTCTCCTTGTCGAAAACACGCAGCCCTTCCACAAAGTCCTCATAGGTGCCCTGCTCCTTGTTGCGGGAGATATGCTGCAGGATGGGCAGGAACGTCTCGAAGTCCAGCATCTTCGCATTCATCTCTTTAGGCAGGAAGGAGAGAGAATGTGATGTGAGTAGAGGCTCAAGGGGAGCGGCGAGTCGGTAGGGGGCCTCGCCCCAGCTCTGCCAGGCGAGGACCAGGGTGGAAGGGAAGAGCCACTATGACTCCACCCAGACCTCTAAGCTCCAGGTGGCCAGCTCAGGGCGGGGGGGGGGGGCGCAGGGGTGGTCCGAGGGTGGTCGCGGCAGGATTTGAGGGGCCCGAAGGGTCACAGAACCAGGCCTCACATTCACAGCTTAGACTTTTGACCTGTGACAGACACATCATGGAGGTAAACCGAAAGGATTGCCAAAAGGGAATTTTGCATCATTCCTCCTTTGGGTCTCTTCCCTAGACCACGTTGCCTGGAGCAACGCTGAAACAATAATTTTTATAAATTTGCAATTCTTTTGTGATGAGCCAGCCCACTTCTCCCACATTATGGTGTGTTAAAAGCTTTAATTTTTAAATACCACAGATGTTGGCAGTTCTTTCTTCTGTAACAACACAGGAACTTCCAAAAATGGAAGCTCCCAGACATCTTTTACCTCTGAGAAGCCCTGCTGGTCCTCTGGCCCTTTCCTGCCCACCTTCTTCACCCCACAGTGGTATCTTCACCAGCAAGAGGAGGAGGGGAAGGGGCCAGAACCAAGAAAAGGGGAGGGGAGCAATATGGGGCCCAGGAAGCCTCTAGAGAAGGCCTGCCCTGGCTGGGGGGCTCCTGCCCAGGTCTGCCTGTCCCCACCTCGTGCCGACACCTCTCTGAAGGACATGTGTGTTAGAGCAGCTGTTAACTCTACTACCAAACATAACAGATGACAGTCACAAATAGGACACATTGCCTTGCACCACTTTTGAAACTCATTCACCAAAACCTACTAAATGCAAATGAGTGACAGGGCATCATTACGGAGCTCAAATTGAGTCCGCTTTAACTTGAATGAATAATTTGCAATCTTTAGTGCTCTCACCATCATTAGAAACAAAGTCTTCGTGACATTTCAATGCAGTAACGCCGCAACTAAGACACTGGGCGTAGGGGTGCGGGCAGGTGGTTAGTGGTCAGATCCCCATCTCACTTCCCTGCACCCTGGGGTGTCAGAGGAAGACACTGAAACAACAGCAGGTCGTTCCTGCCCTCCAGGAGCTTTGACTTCACAGGGAAAACAAGAGCAAGCCCTGGCCACATTCTTCAAGAATCAACTGTCGGAGACTTCCAGATAAATTCTAGCAAGGGGAGAAGGGTAACCTGGGGAAGAGGTCTGGTCTTGAAGGGCTATCATGGGAGAAGAGAAAGAGCCCCAGGGGCCTCAGGGCAGACACCAGGAGGTCGAGCCACAGGCCCACGCTGACCTTCAGGCTTGGGTTTGCCCAGGACGCGCAGCACCTCGGCGTTGGTGGGGTTCTGGCCCAGTGCCCGCAGCACGTCCCCACACTGCCCATAGGTGATCTTCATCTCTCCAGTCGGCGTCCGGTCAAACAACGAGAAAGCCTCTTTGAATTCTGCAGAGAGAGGACCTGACTGCAGCCTCCCTGGGGCCAAGCGAAGACAGTGGCCAGCGGCCCATCAGCCTCCACTCAGGCTGAGAGCAGGTCAATGTGGCTGATAAAACATTTCAGTATTTGCCCTCGGCCATCATTCCAGCCCCTCCCTGGAAGCCCACCCACGCCATCTTCTGACAACCAAAGGGGCATCCTGGAGCCTCCGTGACCTGCTCCAGCGCTGGGCCTGGGATCCCTTCTATCAGGTATTGTCCTGTCATCTGAATATCTCCCCTGCGCCGCCCCTCCAGTCCACGTACCCTGCCCTGCTGCAGGGGAGGGGCCTGACTGTCAAAATGGCAGGGAAGTGAAAATAACACTGGCTCAGGAGTCAGGATTCCCAGCTTCTCATCTTGGCTCTGCTGAGTAGCCCAGAATGAGCCCAGCTAGGACTCCTATGCAAACCCAGGGAATAAAGCTCCACCCTCCCCTCCCTTCCCAGTTAACTGTGTCAGAGGAGGTGGTGGTGTGCGGTGGCACTCTGCAAAGTGATAAGACCCGCTCAGAAGTCAGCTCACAGTACGGCCTGTTCCGGGCCAGACAAGCTGACATGGTCGAGAGAGTCGGACCACACCAGCTCTTCCACTGACCTACCACTGGCCTTGAGCAAACTACTCACTTTGGTGGGCCCTCATTTTTTTTTAGCTCTAAGTGGGGATATAATGTCCACCAGAGTGAGTTGCTGGGGGGATTATCAAATGTACCAAGCATGCTGTCTAGCACATGGTAAGGGAATCAACAAAGGGTGGTTACTATCGTTTCCCTAGTTCTGGAGCCAGCTCAGAGCTCTAGGGACTAGACTCCCTGAAGGTACCAGGGCAGGTGTCCAAGGAGCAAGGTCAAATTAAGGCACTCCTGGGCCCTTTGCAAAGAACCTTAATTCCTCATTAATTTGGATTCAACCAGTTCATTACTGGGGATAATTTGGACTGGGAATAGCAAAGAAATGGTTTACTAAACAGATTAACAATATAAACCAAGGAAGGTATGAACCACTTAGGGAAAAAGCTGCTTTTAATCCTCACCAAGTACTCTAGAAACACTTATTCCTTAGAGGCTGCCTACGGATTATTTACAAATCATTCCACATATTAAAGCAGTTCTGCAAGATGTTTATTTGCAAGTCTTTACTAGGCCTTGTAAGAATTTAAAAGGTAAAAAACCACGTCTTTCAATTACTGAATAAGTTCAAATTCCATTTCCATTGCTTACTAGCTGTGTGATGTTGGGCAAGTAAATATTTAACCTCTATAAACCTCTTCTCCTCTATAAATGGCACCTACCTCATAGGGTTCTTAAATTACATTCAAATTGGATACAATAATGCATGTTAAAAATCTTAACAAAATGTCCTGCATAAAGTAAATGCTCAAACAATGCTGCTAGTCTTATCTTACTGCATTTAATCTCAATTTTACCACTTAACTATGTGATTCTGGCCAGGTCACTTAACCTCACTGACTTTCATTTCCTCTTTTGTCTAAAGGAAATAACCCCTACCTCACAGTTTTGTTAGAGGATTTAATTTTTTATTTTTTTTTTTACTTTTAAAGCAATTAGCATGGCTTCTGGCACAAATTCAGTGCTCAATAAATATGTTAGTTGAATCTGAACTCAGACTTTTTTTTAAAAATGATTTTATTTATTTAACACAGAGAGAGAGCATATACATGGGGGGAGGGGCAGAGGGAGAGGGAGAAGCAGGCTCCATGCTGAGCAGGGAGCCTGATGCGGGGGCTCCATCCCAGGACCTTGGGACCGTGATCCCAGCTGAAGGCAGACACCTACCTGACTGAGCCACCCACGCGCCCTGAACTCGGACTTTTTGATCTCCTAGTTCATTCAGAAGAGTGAGGTCAGATGTAATAAAAGAAGGAGGCTCCTCATAAAAGAAGAATATAATGATCCTTAACAGGAGGGTGGAACATGAGGGGGAAAGTGAAAGAACTATGACCTATGATTTGATCACTTACAATGGACCGAGCTCTGAGCTAATAATGTTGTCTTAATCTTTCAAAAACCTTATGCTATAGGTATAATTATCCTCATTCATAGACCAATGCACATGTGACTTCCGGTCAACTATTCAGAACACCAAGAAAATAGTGAGGAGGAAGGAGGAGAAGGGAAAGACCTATTGTACCTGCAACGCTCCAGCCCGCTGCAAAGCCTGGTATACACATAAACCCCAAACACTCAAGTTTAGGGCTGCTACTAGGTAGAAGACAGAGCCAGTGTGATCTTGGGGTGCAAGAGAGGTGATGTTCATAGGCCCAGAAGAAACCTTTTCTCAATAGTCTATAGCAGTCAGGGCCTTGCTAGAGCTAGGAGCAAAGGTGGTAATCCCTTCCTGTAAGAATATGGAAATCTGGGTGCCTGGGTGGCTGAGTTGGTTGAGCATCCAATCTTGATTTCCACTCAGGTCATGATCTCAGTGTCATGAGATCAAGCCCCGCCTCCCAGCTCTGCGCTCAGCGGGGAGTCTGCTGCTCTCCTTCTCCCTCTCCCTCTTCCCCTTCCCCCGCCTCGCATGTTCTATCTTTCTCAAATAAATAAATAAATCTTAAAAAAAAAAAAAAGAATATGGAACTCTGGAGAGGGACCAGTAAGTAAGTCAAGAGTTGGAAGCTAGTTTCTACAAGGAAAAAAAAAAAGGCATTAAAATAAAATGGGGCCATATCACCCAGAGAATATAAAACAAAGACAGGATTTGATAACTATCTTCAAATAGAGGCTATCTAAAGGATGCTGAATAGAGTCATGGAACTCTGAATTGAAAAGAACCATATATTCTTACTTTGCAGATAAGAAAATTAAGGTTCAAAAAAGTGACTTGCCCAAAGTCTCATGGCCAATAGTGGCAGAATTAGGGCCAATACTAAAATCTCCTGATTCCAAATAACATTCTTTCTAGCATAACATAAGAAAAACATCTTCAGCTTCATCAAAGAGCAAATGAAGAGACAGCAGAAGTAAAATTCAAACAGAAACAATTCCGATCCAAAATAAGGGACATCTTCAAAGTCAGAGGGATGACCGAATGAAATGAGTTAGATCATAGCCCTGAAAATCTTCATGGACAAAAGAGGCAACCAGCTGTCCCAGTTGACTTTGACCGTGATTCCCATTTGGGAAATGAAAAATTTTTATCATTAGTTGACTCTCTACTCTTCATGGGTACCACCATGCTTGTATCTACACACAAGTATATATTTAACTAAAATGCATTTAAATTAACTTTAAGGGGTGCCTGGGTGGTTCAGTTGGTTAAGCGACTGCCTTCGGCTCGGGTCATGATCCTGGAGTCCCAGGATGAAGTCCTGCGTCGAGCTCCCTGCTCAGCGGGGAGTCTGCTTCTCCCTCTGACCCTCCCTGTGACCCTCCCCTTCATGTGCTCTCTCTCGCTCTCATTCTCTCTCTCAAATAAATAAATAAATAAATAAAATCTTTTAAAAAAATAAAATTAACTTTAAGTATTTTACAGCACAACAAACTATTGACTGAAAGTGAATGTCCACGGGGTATTGCAAAAGCAGAGTCAGATTGAATTCACTAGTTTCAAAATGCATCTGCTAGTTCTCATGCCCTATTTGTGGGCAAATTGGCATCACTTTTTGGGAAGACAATTTCACAATAACTATTACAGTTTAAAATGTATGTATCCTTTGACCCACTCCTAGGAAGGTCCCCTGGGGAAAGCATGCTGCCGATAGCTCCCAACGGGAGACAAACTAAAGGTCTATCACTATTAGCCTGATTTAATTAAAAGGTACATCCATGTATAAGAATATATGTAATTCTTTAAAAAAAATGAAGTAGAACTGTTTGTTAACTATAAAAAGATACCAAGGTATATTGGGGCGCCTGGGTGGCTCAGTTGGTTAAGCATCTGCCTTTGGCTCAGGTCATGATCCCGGAGTCCCAGGATCGAGTCTCGTATTGGGCTCCCTGCTCAGTCGGGAATCTGCTTCTCCCTCTGCCTCTCAACCCACTCATGCTCTCTCTCTCTCAAATAAATAAATAAAATTTTTAAAAATAAATAAATAAAAGATACCATGGTATATTAATTTATTATATTTATTATATTATATCTTGAAAAAAACAGTGGATATCTTTTGAAGAGGGATCAACATGACAGGAAAGCAAGAGGAAAATATTTTTATTTTTTATTTACTTTTAAGTAGTATATGAGTTTTTGTTTTTGTTTTACTGTGTGCAGGTATTGGTTGACCTTTTTTTTTTTAAGATTTTATTTATTTATTTGACAGAGAGAGAGACAGGGAGAGAGGAAACACAAGCAGGGGGAGTGGGAGAGGGAGAAGCCAACTTCCTGCTGAGCAGGGAGCCCGATGTGGGGCTCGATCCCAGGACCCTGGGATCATGACCTGAGCCAAAGGCAGACAGTTAACGACTGAGCCACCCAGGAGCTCCATAATTTTTTTTTAAATATAGTATGTGCTGGGCGCCTGGGTGGCTCAATAGGTTAAGCATCTGCCTTCGGCCCATATTGAGCCCCACATCAGGCTCCTTGCTCAGCGGGGAGTCTGCTTCTCCCTTTCCCTCTGCTCCTCCCCCCTGCTCATGCTCTCTCTCTCATGCTCTCTTTCAAATAAATAAATAAAATCTTAAAAAAAGGGGGGTTCCTGGGTGACTTAGTCAGTTAAGCATCTGTCTTGGGCTCAGGTCATGATCCCAGGGTCCTGGGATCGAGCCCCACAATGGGCTCCCTGCTCAGCAGGGAGCCTGCTTCTCCCTCTCACCCTGTTTGTGCTTCTCTCTCTCTCTCTCTCTCAAATGAATAAAATCTTAAAAAAAAAAGATAAGGCTAAATGAAAGAAATTAGTATTTTAAAATAAATAAATAAATAAAAATAAAATTGCACACCTCTTAAAAAAATAAAATAAAATATAGTATGTGCTTAGAATCAAGGAATTGGATCAGATGACCTTTCAAGGTCCCTTTTAACTCTAAACTTCTAACTCTAACTAAAACTTAATGGTTTTATGTCCTAGAGGCATTTGGTGGGGAAAACAGAGGGATAAGTTGCAATGGCAATGAGCCCCAGCTATAAAGCAGATAGAACATGATGAAACATTCTATTCTCAAAACACCAGACTCCTACAGGAGAGGGGCAACAATCAGGTTGGAGGGTAAGAGATCTGGAGGCTTGTCTTGAGAGCTGCACTTAATAGCACTTCATATAACATTGAGTAAACAAATTGTCTTCATCAAAGATGGAGAAGGGTTGGTGATGGGGATCACAGGTGGACTAGGAACCCCCCAGTCATCACTGGCCCTGCCACCTTTAGCAGGTAAGCATCTCGGCAGGCTACAGGATGAGCGGGGAGGATGCCAGTGACCTAAGGAGGGCTTTCCAATAACAGGAACAGAAATGAGGGTTCTAAATATCTTGAATAGTAGGTTTTGTGGGTGGAGGGGAAAAAAGACATTTTTGCTGTGCATCTATTATGTTCCAGGCGGTCTGGCAGAACAGTTGAGAATTCAGGTCTGCAATCAGAGCGCCTGAGTTTGAGTCCTGGCTCTGCTTACCAACTGGCTGTGTGAGACTGGGTAAACTACTGAACCTGTCTGTGTCTCAATTTTTCACAGTAAAATGGGGGTGATAATAGTCCCTACCTCCTGGGGGTGTCAGGTGAGAACTGAGTTAATCCACATAAAGTGCTTAAGTCATCACATATCCTAGGTGAAAATGAGCAAATACGGGTGAGCGATGATGATGATTAAGGTGATTACTAGGACCCTGGTGATAGCAACTACTCTTCTCCATCCTCCTCCTCCAGGGAAGTGAAGCAGAGGGTGTGCTGGGGGAGGGGCGGCTGTCAGTACTCACCTTCGATCTGGTCGGCAGTGAAGTCTATCTGTGGGGAAAGAAACACAGGAATGAGGGCTGAGACTGCCAAAGGCTCCCAGAGGGAAGCAGAAGTGGCTTCCACCACAGTCGGGGAGGGGGGAGGACCTCCTGCAGGCCACCAGTGGGCGGAGGAGACGAAGTACACCCCAGTCTCCTGACGAATGAACTACAATGAGCTATCAAATAGTGCAGCCACCAGAGCTCCCTCAATACCACGTGTGAAGTGATGGCTCAGAATGAGAGGAAAAGAGAGAAAGAAAAATACTCTAGAGAACTCTAGAACCTATGGTGACTCCCTATGGCTATTTCTTCGGGCCAAATGTAAATTGCTTATCCTAGCTGGCCATAAACTGCCCTCACTTCCAACCTGACTCCACAGTCCACCCACAGTCAGACTTCCTCTCCCTTTGGGCATCCACCACTCTTCACCCTCCGCTCCCCTTTCCTCCTTGATGCTGACTCTCCATTCACCTCCTTCAATCCCACCTTCTCTTCCCTCACCCCATCCCATCCCCACCCCCCCACCCCCCAGCACATGTCCCTCTTGGGCATCAGGACAGCAAGCCTAGCTTGGATGAGCCCTCGATGTTTCCTAACTATCCCACAGTCCTGCCTCTAGCTGTGCCCAGGCCTCCTGAAGCCAGGATTCCCCCTGGACCAGGATTTTTGTTACTGCTCACAGAGATGCCTGGCACGGAGCAGACACTCAAAAAACGTTTGAGTGAAGGAATAAATTTTGGATTCGCCCCCACAATGCATAATAATTTAATGCTGAGTAGAGAAGAGGCTCTGAAAATGAATGACAATGAACAAGCATGAGTCATTATTGTAATTTGGGATTTTGTGTGTTACTTCATCATCCTTAATCTGCCACCATGCTCCCCACCTGATCTCCTCTTCACCAGGGGTGGTAACCACCCCGGCACATCTTTTTCACGGAGCACCATTTCTAGTCCTAACTCTGTGGCTTGTGCTGTGCCCTGCAGGCGAACCCCTGTTAATGAGGACCTCTGGGGGTGGCTGGAATGAGCTAGGAGAACGGAGGAGGGGTTACACCGGGTTGGGAAGGAAACTAGCTGTGATCAGGACCGGGCTTTGCTGCAGGTGGGGTTGGTCAGAAAGGTAAAGATACCCCTGAAATAGGGTAAAGGATGCTTTGCATGAACTCTCTGAGAGAAAGGCGCAGTTGCCCCAGGAGTAGATGTGTAAGAGAAATGAGTATAAAAACATAAAATCAGAATCTGTGGTCATAACCACACATATTGGGTTAAGTTTACTTTTGTTCTGTCTTTTTGAGCAGAGTTTTCGAAGCAAAGGAACCAGATAAGTACAGTAGTAGGGAAATCATATCCTTCCAATCATGAAGAACACCTACTTCTTTTTTTTTTTTTTTCACTTTAAAGCAATTTCAACAACCCTCAGGATTGGAAGATCCAGATGTGGGAAAGAGACTGCATCAAAAACTAAGGATTTATTATATGTTGGCTAACTGAACATAATAAAAAATTAATAAAAATAAATGAATTAAAAAAAGAGGACTGCAACTGGGGGAGAGAAAGGGGGGGGAGGTGGGGGGATGGAGGGAAGTGATGAGTCAAAGAGAAGGCTCTGATCTGATACCACTAGGCAGCTGTCGCCCGGACACCAGGGACCAGGCTACCCCCCAGGAGGAGTGCATTATCAGAATGAAGCAGAAATAAAAGCATCCTGATAGGGCGGGAGAGAGTCAGCTTTTCTTGTGAGGTTCTGCCGGTAGTGGGAGTAATGTATGACCCGGGTACTTTCAAGGTCTTACACGATTGCCTCCACGTGTACCATAACAAGCCCAGGGACATGCAACTGCCTCCATCTCTTGGCCAAGCCGGTTATGCTTGACCCCTGACCGTTGCAGGGATTACCATAGATCAACCCCAGGGTCCTCGGCACAACGGCAGGGTCTCCTGGGATTGTAGGTGCGGGGGAGGAATCCTGAGAGGGCTAGGGAGGATCATCCAAATTGGAGCCCGGAGGTTCAGTTTCCCTAACTTCTTGTCACAGAACCTGGTCCTGAGCTCCTATTTTGATCTGATTCTTCACCACCTCCAGCCCTGCCCTTGTGGCTATCCCCAGGGGCCCACCACTCCCAACCTGTTATTAATAGCTCTTCATACCAGTAGCACTTGACCTCTTAGGTTCTGGTGCCAAGACTTAGAACTGCTTCACTCTCCAGAGGCCTCTGACCCCTCCTTCCCTGGCCCAGCCCCTCCCAGTTCCATTCCTTCAGCAGCTGGGCCAGATAGCTGGGAGGCCTGAAGTGACTGAGTCAGCAGGCAGGGCTGGTGGACCAGCTGCAGGGAGAGGAACCTTCCAGTGAGGGGAGCAGGGCGGGCAGAGAGGGAACCAGGCCCCACTCCCTCACCAGGTTAGAGGGAAGGTCTCAGCCTGGGATGGGCCTGTCCACTGCATACCCCAGACAGGAGCCCAGGCTGAGGCCACAGAAGGAGGGAACCACTTTGGTACAGGAGGAGAGAGGGAAACAGGCTCCTCTCACCTTACCTAGAGCCTCTCTACCCCCAACACGTGCCCACTGAAAGGGTCTTTGAGAACAAAGCCTATTCCAGACCCCCAGCTCCCTCACTGCTTACATCACTCACTCCAAGTTGCACTGGTGGTTATCATGTGTCTCTTCTCCAGAAAGATATCATACTACCTCTAAGGAAAGGGTCAGTCTCCTTCTCTTCACTATGATGGCTCCCACAGTGCCTTAAAATTTAAGGCTGAATGGTTAGTTGGTTGTATCTCCCTGCCATTCCCGACTCTGCTGGGTACATTTGGGATGACAGAGCAGGGTTTCCTCAGAGCAGAAACCCATTCCTGAGGGGAAGGCCTACAACCCCAAATACCCCTCAGCAGCCCCCACACCAGTTCCACCACCCTGGGCACCAGGATGTGGGGCATGGGCCACCACAGCCTTCAGCCCAGTCCAGCCTCCAGAAAATAGGTCTCTAAGGTCCAGGACAGACAGGATCCTGAATGTCATCCCCACCTCCACCCCAGTGGCTAAGCCTCACTCACCTTTACACTCTTGGGATCAAAGGCAGGTTCCTTGGGGGGCTCAGGAGCTGGGGCTGGGGCAGAGGCTGGGGCGGCCTTGGCCACTTCCTTCTTAGGTTCAGGCTTCTTGGGAGGCATGTTGTCTTGCTGGGATCTCCGGGAGAGATGGAAGCTAGGAAGGAATCAAGAGATGTGGTGCCTGGGAGATGAGACAGGAGACTGGGCCGCCTCCCTCCCCTTTTATCCTGGGCAGGAGCCCCCACAGAGGGGCTGGGTGAGAGCAAGAGCAACTGCTCTGACTATAAAAGGAAGAAACACCAGCAGGGTACAGCTGACAACTGTGTATTGTCACCAGGTTTGCGGCAACGAGCCTCCCCTCCCTCCACACCTCACACTCCTCCTGGCCTCCAACTCTGGGACAGGCTGACCCCTTCCTGCCAATGGGTGGAAACCCAGAGGGGCCAGGAAAACAGACCCTCTCAAAAATGCCAGAGTCCAGCCAGAGAGATGAGCTGACTAGAGCAGTTGATAACCCTCACACAAAGCCCAGGGGAGGGTAAGGCTTTTTTTAGCCCCTCCTGAGCAGAGGCAGCCCACTGCACATTCCTTTTAAGCCTGGCTCCTTTAAGCTGAGAGCCACTCTGGGGCCTCAGCTCTGCCCTGAGGCTCAGCTCTCAGGCCTGGAGCCCTGAAGCAACAGCTGGTCCAGCCAACCCACACTGTCCCCACCCCTTCCCAATTCACAGGGTGAAGCCCTCCATCCTCCAGAGCAGGCATCCCAGAAACTCCACAGACCTCGAATCCCTGGGTTTACCCGCACCACCAGCAACCTCAATCATTCATTCAACAAGTACTGAGCACTGAACTTGTGCCTGGGGGGCTGGAGTGAGAGGCAGGGAGGTGTGGCTAAGAGTCAGTGTGACTGGAGGTCAGAAAACTTGGGTCCCGTTGTCACCATACCTCTAACTCACTCTGTGCCCCAGGATTCTGTGTGTGTGTGTGCATGTGCGTGTGTGCGCGCATGTGCTTGTGTATATGTGTGTGTACATGTACACTTATCTGTGTACGTGCAGTGCTTACTGTGTACCAGGCACTGTTAAGCGCCATCATATAAAATCTCATTACGTCTTCACCACAATCCTATAAAGTAGCTATCATTATTACTCCCATTTTACACTTGGGGAGATTGAAACTAAAAGTGGTCAGGTAACAAGGTCACTCAGCTAATTAGCTATGAGCTGGATCAGAACCCAGGTGTGTCTGATTCTAAAGTTTATGCTTAAATCATTGAGATCATAATCCCATTGATGAGGGGGGCAGTGCACACATACTACGTTTGTGTGTCCATCCGGAAGGTCAGGCTGAATATACACTAACATGTTAGGAAGAAACACCCCTGGGACCCGGGGGCGGGGAGGAAGGGGGGGATGACGGCAATTCATAATTTTGTACTTTTTTCACTTCCTGTATTAATGGAAATTTTTAATAATGAGCATATACTGTTTTTGTAAAAACCATTGAAAGTCTATAAATGTTCAGAAAACAACAAAAAAGCTTACCCACTGCACAGAATTGCTTTGAGCTGAACTTTAAGTCTCTCCAGTTCAAAGGATAAAAGTCCAAGCTGAGAGAAGCCGAAGTCACTCTCTCTAGGCCCTCCCTATGAAGGGACCCTCCCAATGAAACAAGATGGCTACACTACATACACCTGCGTGCGATTCCAGATTCCAGGTGCCCGGGGCCCACATCCGCTCCTTCCCCAGGCTCCATTTTCCCGATCTTTCCGAGCCAAAGGGGCCCTTAGAGTTGGTCTCATCCTACCTGCTTTCATAGGTGAGGAACCTAATGCCCAGAGGGACATTTAAGCGGCCTGGAGACATTCAGCCATTCATAGGCAGAGCCGAGCCGGCTAATTCTGGCTCCCGAGCAGTGTGTGGAGATCTGCCCCCCCCCCAACGCCGCAGCTCCTACGGCCTCGGTGGGCTCTCACCACTGGTACGCAGAGAGGCCTACAAAGGAAACTGAGGGAGGAAAAGGAGCCAGGACTTGCCCCAGGGGATACTAGAGAGAGCAAGACCCCAACCCAGGCCAGTACTGGTCCTGGCTGGGACAGAAGCTGTTGGCCCTCTCACCTCACCCCACCCCTCTTCTGCCTCACCTTTTCTCTTCCTTCTGACTTCATGTCACCTGCTTCCAGGGGCCTCTGTTCGCACCCTTCCATTTTCCCTATCTTTCCCTTCCTTGACTTCCTCATTCCCCAGGGGTTGGGAGCTCAGGTTGCTGATGGTGAGGAAAAAAAAAAAAGGAAGGCCAGCCTCTCCCCTCCTCTCCTCCCACTGCACCCCCTTCCCGGACTAGGTGTGCTGTAGGGATTTGCAAAGATACACAAACCGGGGTTTGGTGGAAAGCTGCAAGCCGGAAGCTGGAAGATCCAGACACTGGTCGTGACCTTGCGAGCCACTCCCCGTCTCTGGGCCTCAGCTTGCTTATCTCTAAAATGAGAGATCATCAGGAGCTTTCAAACAGTGTTCAACAGACACCCAAGGATCCCTTAACTTGCTTCCGGCTGCAAGAGACGTGGAGAGGCCAGGTTGGGAGCTCCCCCTGCCCTTTCAATCAGCACCACTCCTGTGTTTTATCTACACCGAGGTCCCACGATCATTGTCTAAGAAATGATTCCATGGTTTAAGAGTCTAAAAATAACCACTGAATGAAATGCTCTCGCATTTCCCCTTCCAGTTAAGAAACAAGTTATTTTAACCATTCTAGTAAGAAGTTTGATCCTCAAAAGACAGAGTCAGGAGTTTCCTTTCACTTATCCTTCTCTTTTTTTCCTTTTTCCTTCTTTCTTTGTTTTAATTCTCAGGAGGAGCGAAATATCCAGTCCACTTGGAAACAGAGCTCTGAGGTTAGAGAGCTGGCTGAGCATCTGCAGACATGAAAGGGTGTGGGCCTTCAAGACAGATGAGCGTAGGGCCGAATCCTAGATTTGACATTTCCTATCTCGGGCCCAGGACCCTAAGGACCTTCAACAGTAAACGTTTCCTTCTCAAGTTGTTGTGAGATCCGTATGAAACGACATAAGCAGAGCACCACAAACCATCCCTGGCACATTAGAAATACTTACAGCTGTTAATTTAATTCGCTTTCCTAGATGAAGCGAGATGTGTGTTGGGGTTTCTCAAACTCCCTGGAAAGAACTCCAGGAGAGGGGGCCCCCTGGGGGAGGGACAGGTAAGGTGGCAGCAGCTACTGGGATTAGGAGGTATGGGTTTAGGAATGAGGAAGAGCTGGAGAGCAATGGCGGAAGGGGGGAGGGCGGCAGCTGGGTACCCATAGTGTGACATATTTGTGGCTCAGGAAGCATGTAGCAGGTCCCTGGGGCCAGGCAGCCTGCCTGTCAGCCACACTTACACAAGGAGCCAGCCTGCCTGAAACCTTAGGCCACAAGAACCCCAGTGAGGGAGGAGATACTCCTCAAACCAGTTTCTGATTCTCTTTAAGCAGCACCAGGTAAGAGTATCTGGCACTTTAGAAGCAACTAGAGGGGAGTGTGGTTTTCCAGAAAGAGCCATGCCTCAAGAGTCAAGATACCCGCCCCTGGCCTCGCTATTACCACCATTCACGATGCTCACAGCCCAGAAGAGCCCAGTAACCGGAGCCAGAGGTTTCACTTTTGCAGCCCTCATTCTGCTTCATGGTCACTGACTTTTACCTTCTTGTCCCTCTAGAGTATCCGGTGCCGGGTCTATGACATTGTCTTCCCCCTCCAACACACGCTGACCAAGCGGAGCAAAGGAAAAAAAGAGAGAAGGATGGAAGAAGCAGAGCGTGAAGAGCCAAGTGTAGTAGTGGGTACTGGAAGCCTAACCAGCACCTCTGAGGCCTCTAATGGTTCCTGAGCCAGAGTGGCTCCAGCCCACTCAGATGCTCCCACTGGAAGGACTTCAAACTCCGTAGATGGAAAACAGGACAGAATTTCACACCGACCCCTTTACAGCCCATGTCAGATTCGGGGATAGACGCATAGAGAACTGACATCAGCCCTCATTTGGGCTGGGCTTACGCACACTCGCTCGCTCTTCTCTCTTCCCCTCTAACCACGCATGCCCTGTGTCCTGTCCTGAAAGAGATCCATCAGAGTCTCCTGCCTGGGATCAAATGCTGCTGACAGCAGGCCTGGCTCTTAATGCCTTGTCCTCGTCACCCTCCCTCCTCTCTTCTGGCCAGTGCCTCATAAGCTAGACATCATGGGGCAATGCCCTGGCCAACACGAATCTGTCCCCATAGAGGGCACTGGGTAAATTGGGCTCTGTCGCAAGTCAGGGGTAAGAGGGCCCACTCAGGAGCCAGACTGCCCAGGTTAGAGTCCTGACTCAGTGGGTTAGGCAAGCTAGTTAACTTTTTTTTTTTAAGATTTATTTATTTTAGAGAGAGAAAGCTTGTGGAGGGGGGTAGAGGGAAAGAATCTCAAGCAGACAACTACCTGTTGAGCTCAGAGCCTCGATCTCACAACCCTGAGACCATGACCTGAGATGAAATCAAGAGTCAGACACTTAAACGACTGAGCCACCCAGGGGACTCTCAAGTGAACTTTATGTCTCAGTTTTCTTATCTGTGAAATGGGGCTGCTAATATAACCTCATAGATTGGTCACGAGGATTATGTGATTTGGAGGAGAGAGAGTAGGGGCCAGGAGTGCAGCAAAGAGGCTGCTAGAGAGTCGAGGCAACTCTAAATTTCCATTATTCTTGGATCCTCGCTGGTTGGGATAGGGAATCGTTGAGCCCAAGGGTCAAGAAAGAATTCTTGAGACATTTTACGGTGCAAAAAGGTGTTAGACTTACTATGAGTGACATGCCTAGGACAGTGTCTAGGACAGAGCAAGTCATCAAAATAGCTGAGCCTGGGTCCTGATTGAAATCGTGTGGCTGCTGCCTCCTCTCCCAAGATCAACAGTGCAAGAATTATACAGAGAAAATAGCAAGAAATGAAGAGAACTGTGAGAAACCCCTTGGATGAAGGGGAGCCCTGTTTTGAACTGGTGTGTGTGTGTGTGTGTGTGTGTGTGTGTGTGTGTGTGTGTGTTAGAAGGGTGGCTTTGGTTTGGGGAGAGATGTCGCCAGGCAAGGCTGTGGAATGACCAAAAAAAAGGAGCTCTGGGGTTCCAAT